GTCTGCCTTCAGCCTTACGCTTACGTTTTACGTCCTTACGGAATCTTATGTGTGAAGGCCTTTATGTGAGCCTCGAACGCGATACGCCCTCTGTGGACGTTGAAAAGGTGGGCATCAACTACGTAGCCAATGTCCACGTTTGGGCTAAGCGGATAACGCAGATGTGCACGTTGTGGTTGTGTTCCGTGCTACGTGCATGAAATGTCGATAAAAACAGAGTTATTGATATTTCGTTATGTGAGCAAACGAGACAGCAATAGGAGCGAGACAAGAAATATTAATAGAGAATATTTAAAGAAAATAATAAATAATTCTTCTCTTGTAACATATTACTCGATCAAATTTATACAGATGTCAAAGCCCCAGTGAGAAATGATTCGTCAATCCACGTCGAAATGATGTCGAATCGACGTCAATTCGACGGTGTCGATGTCGATTCGACGTCGTTTCGACGTCGAACGACGAATCATTTCTCATTGGGGCGCTAGCTGATTTAAAATCACCTCTTCATTGCATTAATTATGGACGATAATTGTTTATACGTATGCAATAATAATTTGAAGAAATATTATCGTGGTTATCGCGTGCCTTGGATGTGTTTTGACGGCAATGCTTTCTTCACGTGAAGCTATTGGCCGGAGAAGTCTACCGGATCGGATTGATCGAGCAGTTCACATTGGTAATCGAACTCGGTGACAATCGGACACAGTGCGAAAGTGAACAATGCCAAGCAATAGGAACAGGAAATAGAATTTCTGACGCGTTGGATTGGTTGTGAGAAAATTTTCGACGAATCCAACGCGTCAAAAATTGTATTTCCTATTCCTATTGGCTGTTGCCTGGCATTGTGTGTTAGGCTTTAGACTCGCGTTGTGGATTCCGCATAAGAAAAGCGCACGAAGTCCCTAGCCAGGGGCTCGTTCTGTCGAAACAGTTGGCGGACCTGTCGACTCTATCGCTCCCGCCAATCGCCGCGCTCCGCAACCGACGTTCCGCCAATCCCGCCGCCGCGTCTTCCACAATGCATCGCGCCGCGCAAGCCGATCGCGTCACGTCGAGAGGTAGGGATTGCCATATTTAATTGA